TCTCTTGAAGTGTAGTCGTTGGACTAGAGGGAGAAGAGCAGTGGGGAGAGCACACACCCCTGGGGTCGCCAGTGCTAACAGTCCGGGTGCTGGATGTGATGTTCCCCAGTATCACCTGCTGACTCCTGTTAGTCAGGAAGTTTGTGATCTACTGACAGGTGGAGGCTGACACAGTGAGCTGGGTGAGTTTGGTGCTGAGGATGGTGATGATGGTGTGTCCACAAACAGGATCCTTGCATATGTCCCTGGAAAGTCGAGGTGTTGCAGGATGTAATGCAGTCCCAAGTTGACTGCATCATCCACTGACCTGTGAGCCCTGTAGGCAAACTGGTCAGGTGTACACAAAGGCATCGATGGATGGTATGACGCCCCTCCCACTGTTTGGAAGTTTTCCTGCCAACCTCAGCAGGCAATTGGCTGAAGTGGGAGTGTCGTCAGCTGATTGCTTTCACCTGGACCCATGGGCTATAAAAGCTGACATATGTAGTGATCTCACTCCTCCCTTCTAGCAGGTTACATCCATGCTGTTGCATCTTCTTTTGTACTTGTGTTTATTTTAGTTTAATAGATTATAATTGTTTTAGCTAAGTACCTTGTGTGGACTCCCTCTTTGTCACATTCCCTGAGCCTGTTTGTGTTAGATGGTTTATTATCCGGATAATGTATTCAGGTACAGATCAGATTTTAACACGAAGTGTAAATGGGGGCGTTTGAGAATTCTGTGATGGGGAGGGGATTGTCCGGCCACACTGTGTCGGTTAAGGTGGGGTTCAAGGTTCAATGAGGTTTAGGCAGGTGTGGGAGAAACTAAAGAAAATAACATATTATCCAAAATAAATCCAAAATACAACTATTAAAGTTATATGTCCCTCCCCCCCTTTTGCAACTCTCACATCTGGGTGTGTTTCTCAATTTTTGGTGTCACCCAGAAACTTCTGTTGTGTTGTGACTCTCTTCAACTGAGTTGTGTATGACTTGCAGTGTGTTTCTGTGTCCTGTTAATGTGACGTGAAATTGATGAATGTGTTTTTTCAATTGTATTTTCCTAAGGTTCATAGAGTGCTCTCTCTCTCTCAAAGTCTGATATTATATCACATGTAATTACTTGAGTGATGTAGGCTTAGGATATGCACTATTCAAACATCAACCCAAACAATAACTGGTCAGCTGATCAACTGAAAATGTATCTACAATCATTGTGATAACAGATTAATTGGCCAGGTAATTTTTTAAGCAAAAGGCCAAAAATTCACTTGCTTGAGTTTCTTAAGTGTTTAGTTGTTAAAAATTAATTTATAGTAAAAATAATTTTTAAAAATACATTTACCCTATTCAGAGAGTGAGAAAATATTAAGAATATATAAAACAAATGCTTTGAACAATTAAATAACTAATGAATTTTCAATTAGAGCTGAAACCATTAGTCTATTAATCAATTAGGTCTAGTTGATTGGCAGAAAATTCATTTAACTAGTCAATTCATTGTTTGAGTCACTTTTCAAGCAAGAATGGTAAAAATGTGCCGGTACCAGCTTCTTAAACGTGAGTATTTTCAGTTTTCCTTGGATTTATAGCAAGTCACTATAAAGTGAATATCTTGGAGTTTTGAATTGTTTACCAACATCACCTTTGGTTCAAAGAAGTTATAATAGGCTTTTTATAGACTATACTATTAACTGAGAATGAAAATAATCATTAATTGCCTCCTAACAGATGTTTTAAAGTCAATAACAGCAACAATTTCTTCACATCTCACATTAATTTGACAGGATATACGTTAGAATTCACCATCTTTTTAACTCATCAAATCATGGATGTGAGCAATCTCTCTGTGTGAGGTCATGTAAATGTGTGACCGGCTTGATTGAATACAAACTGCATCTTTGCTAATTGATGTTACTATTTAAACTTCCCACTGTGTTCTCAGTTTTTTCTTGTGGCATGTTAAAAATACCAACCAATACCAAGAACAAGCAATACCGACGGTATCCTAACTTATTCTTAACTGTGGAATTTGCCTTGGAACCACGTCAGGTCTAGGGCTGAAACGATTTATTGATTAAATAAAAAATTGATTCATAAAATGCTTCGACACACATATTCTTTGCATCGATGCTTCGTTTAATCCATGTAACTATTCAGCACAGTGTTTCGCAGGGACATTTATTACTGTCGCACATCGCATTTACGCTGTGAACACGACGTGATTATGATGGAGCTGTTTGCAAAGTGGGGAAAGAGAGGGAAAACAGTGAGGGACAAAAAAGAAAGTGTCCAAAGTATGGGAGTATTTCAAGCTAAAGAAAACAACAACTCTGTAATGTTACCGTCCGTCCACCGTAAAACGAAACTTTTGTCGCCTCGGCAACAGCATGACGGGGCCTTATCAGAAAGCAGATGGTGTTCTGCCAGCGGACCACAGACAAGGTACCAGGAACAGCAACTTTAGCATTTAACTGAAATCATGATTGATTGTTGAGTTGAAGGCCAGCCAAAGTAATCCGCAGTTCTCAGCTGAAAATGTTCACACGTGCGTTTGTTGTTCTCCTTTTTGGGCTGTGAGTTATAACCTCACAGTCAAGAGTTAACTGGGTGTCGGGGAGCTGCACCTTTTAACTCCCCTGCAGCTCTCTGTGTAGCTCAGACAATCCCTGCTACCTGCGTGTACTAATCCATCCTTTCAACCATATTCTTTGTCTTTATAATTGCCATCTTTATAATAACAAACAACAGCTGATTCATGTGCAGGATCGCTCATTTCCTGTTTCACATTTCACGTGTGTTTTCTTGATAAAAGGGGTTTGGAAACCAGCGTCGGGTGCCATAGCTGTTGTCAGCTCCTGTAGTGTGTGACCCCCTGTCACCGATCAGTCACGTAGTGTGAATGCCACAACGACTTCAAGACTGCCGTCATATTACGGCAAGTTGTGTGAACGGCACAGCCAGTCAGGTCATAGAAATAGAAGAAAAACACATCCTTGGACCACCAGGAATTCCTTTGGCTCTACCATCTGATTAAATCTTTCACAGTACATGCTAATGGAAAGGCTAACGTGCCAAAAAATAAAACGGATTGAGTAATCTATGTGGAAAGAAAGCACTGATTGCACAAAAAGGCTACTGACCCTTAACACATCCTCCTGCAGCTCAAGGAGTTTAAGCTGCTTATTAGAGCCACTCCTTCTGAAGGGCAACACACAGCCCATCACCATTTCAACAAATCACAAGTCTTAACTAGAAGAGTGCACTCAGAAGGACCAGCGAGCAGACCTCCACCAGGGGCACGTTCAAGCTGAAACTGGTTTGCTACGGTTTCATGGTTGAAAAATATGTTTCCTCGATACTATGTGCAATGGTTGGCATCATGCTTTGAGGTCCATTTTTCTCGTTTGATGGGCGTGTCAGAGGTGTTACCCAATTAGCAGTGGCATTTATCATAAACACAGCCATATTAAAATGGTAATGACGTGCAGTGCACTTGCATACACAACGGGGTGGTCAAGGCACAACTGTTTTATTTACATTTAAATAAATGTTTTGATACGTTTTGTTGGGGCTGAATGCGGCCCAGGTCTGGTATTACCGATGGCGCAAGAAACACAACAATGTCTCATGTCATTTTGCATTTTTTTGTTTTTCGCATGTCATTTCATGCCATTTAGTCTGTACTGACTTACATGATGCAGTATGGCATGTCATTTTACGTCATACAGAAGAAAATGTTGTGATGTATTATAAAGAGCGACAAAATCCATCCAGGGACCATGGATATGGATATTAGAACTGGACCCAAAGATGCACCAAACAAGTTTCTAGCTTCCAAGTAGCAAATTTGCAAATCCTACTATGGAAATGGCATGACTGGCCCTTCTCTGCCTCTGATTGGCTAAGCCTGATGATGACTTTTCTTACGTAGCCTTCACTGAAAGAACAGGAAGTTTTTGCTGTTCTGGTGTCTTCAGCAAATTTGCTTGAAATTGTGTAATAATTTCATCTAAATGCAGTCAATAAGCCATGACTCAACATAACAAAAACACCAGATCTCCCCTTACAAGGATCAATGGGTAGACTGCCATTGATTCATCAGACATTGCTAATGTTCGGTCAAATGACCAGACGGAAGCTGATGGTTATAAAGACACAAAACTATTTACAGATTTCATGAGTTGCTACAAATTTGCTTCCAGGTACATGCGCCCCACAGAATATGGACAGTACTCTTTCCTGTGCTGGCAGACGTCACTTTCCTGTCGTCAGAACTTTACACTGTGATGATGTCATAGAGCTTTTCTCAGCTCCAGTAAAGTTTTACAAATATAAAACCTCCCTGGGTTAAAAATTCATAATACAAAGAGTCATAATTGACCTTGTTTGCAGTTTAAGATGTCCAGCCACGATTTGTCAGATACTTTTACTTACCTAACTTAGTAGAAGCTAAGTAGTAACTTAACTGATATAACTAAAGTACTTACCTACCAGCATTTAAGAGGAGTGATTCACTCACTTACTCAAGTGAGGAGTCAGCAGTATAAAACAGAGCAATCACTAAAATTAGTTTTTCAAAAATTAAGAATCACCACAACCATGAGAAGTCCTTGAACATTCAGCCATAAATGTGTACAAATCACATCAGCAGCTGACACACACACACACACACACACACACACACACACACACACACACACACACACGACCAATGGCCTGATCCCCTCAGGACCCCTGAGTCTTGGAGTTAGCACATTTTGTATCATAATGCAATTGAAATTTGTGCAAAGTGGTGTGATCTCATTAATCTGTAATCTACTGAATGTTAATAGTGAAGGAATACAGCCAAACAAAGTAATGAACTTTCAAATCAATTTTCTAGGCTATTTTGCAAACTGACGGGGGTCTGAACGTGAGGAACATGCAGTATAATCCGACTCTGCTGCTACACGGCAATGTATTTAAAAGGGAACAACCTTATTTATACAGTTAAGAGGATGAAAGTGGGTTTTTACCTTTTTTAGGCGGTTGTGCATTATCGTGCGGAAAACCTGAGCCACAACTAAGCCAATCCCAGCGACCAGCAAGACAGCGCAGGTGATCCCGACCACATAGATCGCGCACGGTCTCCGGGTCATGTTTGCAGGTGCTAGCAACACAGAAAAGCTGCGCGTGAGAGGATGAATGGAGACGGTGTTCGTGCATAAAGTTAAGTTTTCACACAAACTTACTACAAAATTTCTTGAAATATGTTTCTCTAACTGCACGGGGTGCGGTAAGAGAGCTCCAACCTTGCTTTGCCTTTGTTGTAAAGTTGAAGAAAAGTTTCGTCCGTGATGACTCTAGCCGAGGAGCGGCTAAGTAACGGTGGAAGATGTTTGGTTTGTCCTCGCGAGTAAACTTGCAACAAAGAGCTGCGGGGGAGTTAAATAATAAACGGGTGACTTTGACAACCACGAGGTTCCTTTGAGTCTAGAGTGGCGACCTAAAAGGGCACACAATAAAAAAAAAATCTGCCACGGAGTATTTTTGTAGCGGGCTGCAAGAGTCTCTCCCTCTCTGCGCACGAGGAGATCGCTGATTGGTCGGGGCGGTGTGTGCCCCCGCTGGGGTTGAGTGTGCGCGTGAGACGTAAACGCGCCCGCAGCTGCTTCAAGGACAGCGGGGTGCTGAATTGTTTTGTGTGCGCTCTCAAAGTTACAGCTCTGTTAGTGCAGCCTGTGACTTGTTCACAAGACAGCAGCTCAGACAGCTGACTTAGTGGAAACGGACCGAGATGATAACAGTTATATACAGTTATATATATAGAGAGTGTGTTGTTTCTATGGACCTTTGTGTCTTGAATAAAATCATACATACAGTTAAGACATACTTACATGAATGAAACAAGTCATAGAGGCGTAGTTACGGTGTAGTTGTTGTCATTTTCTATTAACAGTCAGTTTATAGTAGCCTCGTGATCATGTGAAGACACGTGTGTGGTAGACTACTCTTACTTTGACTGTAAGTTTAGTCAACCTAATCTCGGGTAATGATACAGCGCCCTGTCCCCATCTACTTTAAAGCCAGACAATGAGCAACACGTCGCCCGCTATGAGAGCTACGGATATCCTGTTGCTGTAATATTACATGAAAAATACTATAAAAACTCTTCCGCTTGCTACTTCGTATCAAACGCTTTTCATCATAACAACCACCGCATAACTGTCGGCGGGTCACACTTGAATGTTTTAGAGAGGGAAGTTGTTGTCAGAGTGAGCTAGATAAATAGGTGCATCAGACAGGTGCTTTAACTGCACTTTGGGAGAACTCAAACCAACAATACCTCATGAAAATAAGCAACAAGTGGCATCAAACTATAGGCTACGTGTAATTTGCATACAAGTTATGAAAGTGGATTGAGCAATTTAGTATCCATAGTCCATAGTTTCATCTTAATCAGTGGTGGAATATCACTAAATACATTTCGGATGCACTGTACTTACTGCACTGTAGGCTACTTGACTTGAATATTTAAATGTTCTGCTACTTTCTACTAGCCTACTATGCCACTGTATTTTAGAGGCAAATATTGCCCTATTTACTTCACTACATTTATCATACAGCTAAAGTTATGTCTACTGGTTAATTTCCAGATAAAGATTTTACATACAAAACGCAGTTTATAAAATATGAGTTTTTATAGATTAGTCAGGACAGTTTATAAAGTTAATATTAGCTCCAACTCAACAGGCAAACATTAAAATGCTGCTTACACATTAGTGCATCATTCATAATAAAACAATATATATATATATATATATATATATATATATATATGTCACTATGTCACTAACACTATCTTGAGTAATTTTTTGTAGCTTGTGTATTTTTACTTTTGAAGTATTCATATTCATGCATGCAAAACATCAAATCTATTAACATAAAACCTATAAACTCACGTACAGTACAATCCAATATACACTCACTTGCCAGTTTTTTTAGGTACACCTAGCTAAAACTAAAAGAAAAGAGGACCTCAAATGCTCCATAAAGAGGAGCAGAATGATTCAAGCTTTTGAAATAGCTTTCTTGCATAAAGTGTGACACAAACCAACAATCTAAATATATGTGATGCTGCCTGTTCTCTGTTGAGAGTTCACCAAACCAACTTATAATAGGAAGTGCAGCTGTGTTGTTAAATAACGGAATGAGTGTCACAGTGGGTTCCTCTAGTATCAGCACAGGTCTGTCATTTAAAGAGGCAGTCATGAAAACTGTCAACCGCGGGATGGTGACCACAAACACTTCTGTGTTTCAATGACTCATCTAGATGCTTTTGAACTTCTGCATTTGTTAGTGACCAGAATGTATAAAGGTGAGAGGAGACATAAACCCTGACACAGTCCACAGTCAGCAACCATTAAAGGATAGGTTCACATTTTTTCAAACAATGATCACATGCCCATATGTACACTGAGACAGTTTTTGGTTGCTGTAATCATTCAATGTGAAGAGATAAATTAAATAAATACACGTTAATATGACCACAGTTGTGAACATAACATTAACATATCATTTCAAGTTTATATGCTTTGCATATTGTTTGCTTATTTACACATCCAGTGGTTACAAAGGAATATTTCTGTCCACTTGTGTGTCCAATTTTCTCTGTCTAGCTCTGTTTTTGTCTCCAACAACTCCTGAAGGAAATATCAGTCTCTTTACCTGCTAAATGCTCCACTATGTTCACCAGCAAGTCTCCTACTGTGTCTGTCTGTTGTCTGTGTGTGTTTAGAGCTCTTTGGCTCAAAACAGCTGCCTGCTGTTGTCAAAAAATGAGAGCAGTGAGAGTGAACCAAAACATAAAAGATGTGGGCCGGACAGCTAAACAATGAGCTAAAACCCGCTATAAAACTCTGTTAAGCCGAGAGGAGCTGCAGATTCAATTCTCTGTGAGTTCATCACTATGAGCAACCCCTTTCACATTGTCATTAATATACAAATATCTATTGTAGCTGCTTTCATTTTAGATGCATTTTTGAAGTGACAACTGTGGATATTATCATTCATCTTTTACACTGGAATCACTGTAGGATTGGGATATTTAGAAGGCCAGTATGGACAAGAGGAATGATTACAGCAACCAAAATCTATTTCAGCCTGGGCATGTGAGTACTTAGACAGTCTTGAAAAAATATGAAGTTATGCTTTAATGTCACCCATTAGTATAGGACACATTAGCATTCATTAGCAAACTAAACATTAAAACATAGTATAAGATAGATAATATAGAATATAGTGCACAAACTGAACTGAAAAATTAGAAACTACTGTTGCTGTGAAGGAGAACCCTACAGAGGTGATATTTGATGTGGCCTCTATTGATCTGGGAGAAACAATGCAGAGCACACTGTACCACATTGGGAGCTGCCAATACTCATTTTCTTTTACCACTGACCTGTTGAACAGGGAACAATCGGGGGCAACTTATGTTTACTCATTCACTTTGTGCAGCCTTGAAGGTCACATGCATTTCTTACGAAGCATAATTAGTCTACTTCTTCCCCGTGTAAGCTCACAGGGTGTTTGTTTTATAGCCACAGTGGCTTTGAGAATGCAAATAATGCCGCTGGTAAACAGGTGCAAATGCAGACACAGACAAAATATACTATAACTTCAAAGTACAACCCTATTGAAGAACAAATCAAGAGCCCTTTTCATGTGTTGTCCTAAATTTATAAATAGGCTATAGGAAATGTATCCATTGTCTCACGCTGTCCCCCTGTAGTTTGCATTGTATAGCCTACGCTAGCTGGTAAGTACTAAAAACATCAAGCTTATGTTAAACATAACAGGAAAATGTAATCAGTAGTGAACTCAGTTTGAATAGGATGTTGCTCCTTTGTATTGCCATTCTTTGGAGAAAGAATGACTGATGTATAGAATATAGACATATGCAGTTTAACCACAGAAGAATGGCCATATTGAGTTAATGGACAGTAGTTTTGTTTGGTTTAAGGTGTCACAACACCTGTGAGACAACATGTTCACTTGTCATATATACCCACAAAAAAAAACTCATGAACTTTAACTGTTAAATGATGCATGAGATCACTTCCTTGCAAAATGTTTTCACATGTCTCTTCTGGAAGTAGCGTGCAACAGAATGTGTGGAAATCGAGGCAATACAGAGAAAAAAAGAGACTAGCAAAAGATTACACAGATTACTGATGAAGCACTGTGCGGCATCTGTTTGTCATATGCTTGTGCTAAAGCATAGCTGTGGAAATGTAAAAAGTCATTATTCCAAAAAAAAAGCTTTGATTGGAAGTTACACCATCCAATTACTTGTGCTTTTTGTTTATCATCTCTATGGACTTAATCTCACTATTAATTACAGCTACCAGTATGCCACTGTAGGCTTCTGACTACACCCCTCCTATACTGAATTCGCTTCATTGATTCTCAAGTTAAGTGTTTATATTAATGATTTATGGTTGAGAGCACTGAATGGGTTGGCATCTTCTAATGTTTTTGAACCCCTGTTTTCCCTCCTGGGTCACACAGATCCTCTCACCAGATGGTTTTGGTTGTTTGTTGTTCAGCTCAAAGCAAAAGGAAAATTGTGGCCTTGCTGATGCTGCCCCAGATGTGTGGAATCATTTACCCCTGCACAGAAGCTTTTGCCCTCTACTGGCCTTTGAAAATCCTGATTAAAACTATATTTTGTCTTTGGCTGTGAATTTATTAGCCCTAGGTTTGCTAAGAAAGTTGTACATGCTTTGAAAAAATGTCTAAATGCTTTTGTTGTTTTCTGATTTTCTGATATTCCCCAAAACGTGTTGTTTTATCCTCTGAGGGCATCTGTGTTTTTATGTAGGATGTTTGGATTAAAAGCATGTCATGAGTTAAAAAGTTGAGAAGCTATTGTCTCACCACTCCACAGGGATCCAAAGAGAATATAATGAGTGCAAGCTAATGGCAGTTGGAAAAAACAATAACCTGAGGGTGTCAAAAAATGAGAAATTGCTCTCACACACACTAAAAGACACACAAACATTCACAAGATGTTCTTTTCAAAATCTTGAAACACGTGCTAATCCCCCATAATACTGGATGTCATGGACTTCTCTGCCCTCTCTGACAGGTTAGGTCTGTTTTTACATTAACATGCCTGGAAAACAAAGTCCTGATGGCATCATCCGACTCAAGAGAGCACTGCCGCAGAAGAGCTGAAGGACTAGACTTTGAAATTTGTAATTAGTCAAGTAAATTAATGCAAAAACAGAAAAATTTTGCTTCAGTTTTACATAATACAATGCATACATTGCACAGTCTGCCTTGTTATCGCTTATTGTATTGCATCTCTTGTACCTTGAGTTATGTGCACACAAACATTTTGACATGGTTCTTTATTTAAAACTACAGCGGACAGTTGAGCATCAGGGTGCACTGTAATGTAAGATATGGTCATGGGTTTAGGGAGAACATGTTTATAACATAGACTTTCTGCTACTTTCTGCTGCTAGTTACAACAATC